TCACAGAACATACAGAGAAAAGTACTAAACTGAATCAATTTCAGCTTTCATTTTTCATGATGTATATTATATTAATAATTAAATTTAATTATCTGTATCTTTACCACACATTTGCCACACAGGTGTAGATAGTGTAGGTTCAGTGAATGCTTAAATTGCGCTGATTAGAATATACTGGACATTCAAAGCTAAGATTCAGCGCACTGTGTTAGAGGCTGGGATTTGATGAATTCATCATATATACAACCTTTGATCATCATTTATGTCCAGTTGAGAATGAATCTGTGCACTCACATATTAAATGAACTGAAATCAGTAGTGTGATCTCCAGTCTTGATATAAGGAATGAGAGAACTGACAGTTGTTATTTTAGTCAGCCTGTCTCAGTTGTTTTAACTCTAAGTATCACAAAGTAATGTGGTAACATCTGGACTGACGAGTTTACTGTCAGCATTTTAATTGCTAGTTTACAGGCTGTAGGCTGCAGCCGTTGCTCTAACACTGTATAAATGTAACAGGCCTCAGTGCTGGTTCTAATAGTCTGAGCTGCTTCCAGCTTTATTTGTGAAGAGCACAGCAGCTTACAAAACACGTAGCTAGCTCGTACAGCTGCGACGTAAATTTTTCATATGCTAAGATGCAGTAGCGGTTTTAGATACGGGCGACACGGGCGGTTGCCCGGGGCGGCATCGTGGTGGGGGGTGGCATCACGGGCATCGGCAAAGAAAAATGTAAAAAAAAAATGCTCGTACTCATGCTGCCCCGACGTCATGCCAGTGCATACTGGGAATGGCATAGGCACCGATCGGTTTTTTATCGCCCATTTGCTGGGAGTAAGTGCGCCCTCCGTTTGCGAGGTGCGCCTGCTGCTTGCGGCACTAGGTGGAAAGGGCGGGGCTGCGGGCTATTCTCTGGCTGGCTGGAGCAGCATCTTATAACCAACTCGCCAAATAAAACAAAATAAAAACAAAACAACAAACAGAAAAACATCAGACATCATGATACAGACTTATAATTTGCGCCGATGTTTTTTCGAAATTCTTAACACGAAAAGTGAGCGCGAGAGCCCTCAGTGCGCCTGCTCGCTGCTGAAGTCAAAGTAAACTTTATTGTCATCTCCGCTTCATACAGTCCAGTATATAGAGAGACGAGACGACGAGGCTCCAGTTACAGCAGTGCAAGTAAACAAACAATAAATATAAGAAGAGTAAGAAAATAAATATACACTTTAGGACTAGAGGTAAAGGGAGCAATAACAATTTAAAATTTACAGTTTGATGATTTGAAAGTCTCACACACAACCTGTCGAAAGGGGGCCGGCTGCTTCCAAATAGAGCACATTTTCATTTATAATGTTGTAAATCCAATTAAAGTGCAATTGGAAAAAGGTTTTTGTATGAAGTTTATTAAATTGGAATTCAAAAATGTTTTTGAAATGAAGTTTTTAAAAAGCATTTTAAAAATCAGTTTATTAAATTGGAATTCAAAAATGAATTTACAAATGGAGAATTTATTCTACAATTCATTATTTCAGCACAGAATTCTTTATTTCGATGCACGTGGCTCTTGTGGTCCTCCATATGTTAACACATAGTGAAAATCATGGAGAAGCTTGCGACTCTGCAATGGGAAATTGATAGATCCCGGGACCAGTGATGGACATTAGATCAACTGCAGAATCGGAATGCAGTTTTTCGCCCTAAACCAAACCAAAACAACCACTATCTTCACGTGGCCTTCCCTCACCAGCTAACATTTCCCGGGCCAAAGCTGGAACAACAAATTCTCCCAGATAACAAGACGGTGTATGACTCTCTACTCTTTCCTCCTACTTCTTCAAGGTTACCTGCGTTGGCTGGTTGACTTTTGCTTAAATCTAGGTGAAAGGGCTCTCTCTCTTGAGTTGGACACAAGATACACACACATACATATGTACTCAGACAGAAATATACAATATACAATATAAATGACTACTTCCACTCGATGCCGCCAGGCGGGTCTGTGTCCAGTGCCGGAATATGGGTGCAGGACCAGATGGCTGTTGTTTCCTGTTCTCAGACTGCTCTCCTCCAGTCAATCAATCAATCAATCAATCAATCAATCAATCAATAAAAAAGATGACTGAAGAAGAAACACTCAATGCATCATGGGAATCCCCCAGCAGCCTATGCCTATTGCAGCATAACTAAGGGAGGATTCAGGGTCCCCTGGTCCAGCCCTAACTATATGCTTTATAGCAAAAAGGAAAGTTTTAAGCCTAATCTTAAAGATAGAGATAGTGTCTGTCTCCCAAATCCAATTTGGAAGCTGGTTCCAAAGAAGAGGGGCCAGAAAGCTGATGGCGCTGCCTCATATTCTTTTAAATACTCTAGGAACAACAAGTAAGCCTGCAGTCCAAGAATGAAGAGCTGAATATGGTACTATAAAGTCAGTCCAGACCTTTCACCCTATCACTGAAAACATTTGGAACATCATGAAGCAGCTGTTGTAGATAAAATATGTGTTTACGAGCTTTGAAAATCATGGTAATCAAACAGTTGTATTGGCAGTTAAAGTCTGTGCAGGCCTACCTTTTACCTGATTAAGCAGCAAGAAGGTAAAAGGTAGGCCTTAATGAAGAACTAGAACTAGTATAAAAATCGGCAAATCGGTATCCATCCCTGCAGCTGGCAGAATCGACAAATGTCCCAGTATTTAGGATTTTACATTCCTATGAGCTGGTATCACATTAATCACCAGCAGTGGGATGGAAGACTAAAATACACTGAATGAATGGTTTTCATGCCAAGGCAGAAATGCACCAACCTGATATTTGGTTTAAATACAATCCTATAGTAACTCAAATATCAGTATTGGTCACACCGTGGGCTGACTTATTAGATTCACTGTAATTTTGTTCAGTTATGTTTACAGCATCATGTGTCCTTAGTAGAGGGCTCATTCCTAAATGGAGCATTAGCATAGCATGGGGCAAGCAAACAGATTGGGATGAGCAATTTGGAGATTATTTAAGATGGCAAGACCAACAGGGTTCTTTGTTTGTTTGAACTTTCTGTCTTAACTGCAATCTATGGTTGACTGAATTGTCAGCAGCTGAAAAGTTTCTTGTCAGCGTATCTCTTCTTGTCTGATTAAGTTCATGGAAACACTTCCTGAAAAGATTTAACTGCATATAAGGTAACATAATGATAAGATAACATAAGGTAATTCACAAAGCTTGCTGTGTGGCAGACACAAATGAAAAATTCAGGATGCAGGTGGGGAACATAAAAAAGGATTTTAAAAAATGGATGTTAAAAAAGGTCAAAAGTAATCAAAGAGGTAAGTTCAAACCAGGGAAAACACACATCTATGAAACAGGAACTATGGAATGAGGGAACGTGGAAAAGACGAGCACACATCATTAAGAAGGGACATGACAAAGGCCAAGGGGAGACTCAAACAGTATATACAAAGAAGAATAAGGCTAGGGGAAAACAGCGAGGAAAAATCAAGGATAGCAAACTAAACTCAAAACAAGGTACACAAGACAAGAGACTTTCAAAATAAAACAAGAATTAACTTCCACCGAGGAAAAGACAAACAGACAAACATGCAACAAGGAAAGACAAACAGAGATACAGAAACACAGGGGATGCAGGAATTCCCAGGAACTTGAGAAATAAAAACTTTGAATGGAACTAGATATGTAAATATATGTAAATATATCCTTTCATGGGGCTTCTCTCTGTGTTATAAGGTGTTGAATTTCATTAAAGCCTGATTCACTTCATTTGTGTCTGTCCAGGTGCTCACAAACTACTGCTAACACATAAATGAGTGGAAAGAGACCCCGTCTCATCCAGTTACTACCACAAGGACTCTCGGTTTCATTATTTTCAGTGTTGGCTGTAAAACTGAACCTGTCTTTGTTTCACTTCCCTATTTTCTTTTTACTGTAACTTTACCTCCTCCTTCCTTATCTAAGTGTGTTGCTCCAACAGCTTCTTCATTTCTCAATAACTCTAAATGTCAAGCTGCCCGCAGAAACCCGGCTGTGGCGCCTGACTTGTTCATTTGATCAAACTCAGCATGTCAGTCTTGGACTTCTTTATGCCCAGAGCAGTCTGATCTGGCAACCAGTCACACCAATGGATGGAAACTCACATTACTATCATTTTTATTTGCAAATGTACTTATATTTTTCTTCTCCACACCAAACACTATGACTTGACTAGAGAATAGTATGACCTTTCAGTTTTTGAAAAAATCCAGCCACTGGACATTTTTAACAGACAACATGACCCAAGTTAAAAAAAAAAAAAACAGCTCCAGGAAATTATGTTCAATTGTGATGGTAAAATCAATATATGCAATATGTGCAACATTCTTCAGCAAATCTTGACTAAACTAATATTAGCTCCAAAAAACATAAATAAATAAATAAAACTGTTACGGTGCAGTTTCAACATTCAACATCGTGTTTCAATATTGTTTGTGTGGCCCCGAGAAATCTCAAGAGTAAGAATTACTGCGCTTCAAGAAGGAAAGCAGTGCTGCCCATCTGCATAACACTGGGCCTGAAATCAGTACAATCAGTACAAGTGTTTGTGTTAGAACAGCTGCTTTTCTAAAATTGTGGTACAAAAATAATCATTTGCTGTTTTCATGCTTTAAACCTGTAAAATCTGTAAAATTTACCTCGAGATCAATGTGCTACTGTTCATAGAGCTCACTTCACATCTAAAACAATCAAAATGTTAATATTTTGAAACTTGAGTATTCAAAATAAACAAATATATTAATATATAAATAAAAAAAATGTGCATACATGTTTCATTAATAGTTGTTTCTAGATCTGGATTTTTGTGAAATTAACTGCTCACAGTTTGTTTATCTTAAGCAGGCTGAACCATATGGGAAGGTTAAGGTTGGGGTAAAGTATCACACTCAGAAACTCGTGTTTTTAAACTCATATTACACACTTTGTGTTACAGGGTTAAACAATTTATGTATAATCCTTACCAGTGGGTGGGGACAGTAGATACCTTGAAGCAAGACATCCCCCCCTGGCAGTAATGTAGAGAATCACAGTGAATGACGTGAGCCTTAGGAGAGCTGGCGCTGTCTTGTGTTAGAGCTGGCTCTGGTGTTTGCAGAATGGGAAAGAAAGCTAACTATTAGTCTCTGTCTCTTATCCAGAATTAGCTGGAAATGTTAGCTAGAAGTACATGCCTTGCAAAGGAACTTAATACATCAGAGTAAGAATAAAGTGTGAAAAAACATTTTGTCTGCACATTAAGTATGGCAATGTTTTTTTTCTCTGATGTGTTATTGCAAGAAATGTGCAGCAAGCTACAGTTTAGAATTAAGAAGTGCTTCTAAATGGTCCAACTCATCAAAATCAGCACTTTCTAAACTGTAGAACAGTTACATTGAAACTCTATGTAGACCTGTCTCTTTAGACTGCACAGAAAACTCATCAAAAACATTTTACATCACTACAGCTTCCTCTTTACAGTCAAGACATCCCTGTTTTTTCCCCTCTTTAAAATAAAAATAAAATAAAAAAGGAGAGAGTCACCAACATTTACATGGAAGCTTGAAATATGCTGAATGGTTTTTTTCAACTTTGTGAGGCACTGATGTAATATTTGGTTCAGATATCAACTCCACACCTACTCAAATATGTATGCTCTGAATGGGTGAGCAGGGGCAGATTTATTCCATTAGCACTGATGTTGTTCTGCATTTTCCACATTAGGTGTCAGCAGAGAGTTTCCAGAAGAGTGAACATAACATGGGAGAAGCTAACGGCAACAGATCTGCAGGAAGCATTTTAAGCTTGCAAGACCAACAAGGATTGTTATTGTTGTTTTGTTTTCTGTCATGATGAAGTTTTTGTCTGCAGAATATTTTCCTGTGTAAGCTAGAAGACTGGCAATCTTGCTGGGTATCCAGTTACGGAAGCAACACATTAACAAGAGAATTCTGAGTAAAACCAAAGTTACTTTCCCTAGTAACTAGTTACTTTGAAAGTAACAAGTAACTTGAAGTAACTGAGTTACTTTTGATAGAAGTAACTAGTAATGTAACTAAGTTACTAATTTAAAGTAACTTACCCAACACTGATCATAGTAAGCAAGTCTCAGTTTCAACTGTGAAGATAGGACTTTGAGCTGCAGGTATCAGAGGATGCGTTGCAGCAAGAAAGCCATTGCTAAGACATCAGAATAAGACAAAGAGGCTTGCCTGGGCCATGAAACGCTGCCAATGGACTACTGAAGACTGGAAGAAGCTATTATGGACTGATGAACAAAAATTTGAAATCTTTGGTTCATCACGCAGGATCTTTGTGTGCTGTTGAGTAGGTGAAAGGATGGTTCCACAGTGTGTGGCATCAACTATCAAATATGGGGGAGGAAGTGTAATGGTCTGGGTTTTTGGATGGTACAGAGTGAGAGGTACCCTGAACCAAAACTGCTACAACAGCATTCTGCAGCGTAATGGAATATCCTCTGGTATGCGCCTAGTTGGTCAGGGGTTCATCCTACAGAAAGATAATGACACAAAACATAAGTGCAAGCCAGGCCAGAACTACCTCAGGAAAAAATAAAAGATGGTAAGCTTGAAAACATGGAGTGTTCAGCACAGTCTCCAGACTTAAACCCCATCGAGCTGGTTTGGGATGAACGGACAGAAGAGTGAAAACAAAGTAACCTACAAGTTCCACACATTTATGGGAACTTCTGCAACAGATATGGGAAAAACTTTCTGAAGAACATTTGATTTCTATTGTAGAAAGAATGTGACCAGTGTTTTTACCGGCTATATCTGCCAACTGTGGCTACATTGATGACACAAAAGTTTAGAATACATTTTCCTCTATAAATTGATTACATGATTTCCTTTTTAACTCCAGCATAATGTAGTTGTTTCTGGCCTGGATGTAGTTTCCACTTCACAATAGTCCTCCTTTTGTGCAATGAAAATAAAAGTAATGTCCATATCCACCGTGTAGACTGCGTCACCATTTTCCTCCTCCAGCACACAAACTAAAAT